TGATAAAATTAGATTCATGTTCTGGTTCGCACACGAAGGGCGATCATCAAATTCAATGAGCTCTTTGGGTCAGAACTCACCTCGGCATAGGGACATTCAAACAACAACTCCGTGGCACGATCTGGTGAACTGAAGAAAGACCATTGAACAAATTTCTCCCGCACTAACGGAGAGATGGCCACAAGGCGGAAAAACACAGGAATCCAACGTTGCCTAAGAAACATAATGACAAGGAGCATCCAAGCATGAGTATCGAAAAACGAACATGACCGATTTTAAAACTGAAAGAAATACCAATGTCCCTCAATGCCCGAATAAATGGCTGCGAAACCTCAAAAAGATTGATGAAAACTCAGCGTTTTGTTTCATTAACAAACGAGTCAATACGAACCAAGTTAAGAACTGAACCATCCAATCAGCAGCGGTGTCGAGGGCTTCTAGACAACAGGAGCAACTAAATTCACGATTTAAACTGCGTGGTTACATCATGGACTGTTCACCCAGGAGATCAAATATATCATTTATAACCCTAGGATGTTAAAGAGGGAAACGAGCTTCAGCAAAATTTTGTGTTAAACTACCTGATTTAACTAGTGATAGATGAATTCCCGGGTTATCCGAATCGATTTTCGATTCAAATACAATACAAATCGTTGAGAAAACGAAGAGACTAGAACATATCCAGCTTTCATATCATCTACAGCATATTTGTGTGCAGTGCAAATAAAAACTGACTAAAACCAGTTTTTATGTTTGACGGACGGTGATATTACATTGAATGAGAAAATGTAAATCGAGTTCCCAATTTTTTTTGAATAAATGTGATCCCGATTGTCTCGTAGGAGAACAAAATTTAAGCGAGACAATGAAGTTTCACGGTAGTTTGGTACAAGAGAAAACCCAAACATTATCCGCCTGTCGGTGGAAACAAGCATCCTCAATAATGGGACAGTTTCAAAAGCCGAATCGATAAGATGCACTTCAAAAAGATGCCTCTCACATCAAATCGACCAATGTATTAGTCGTTACGATAATGGGGTGTAAAGCTTCACCACAATTTAATTGAGTCGCACAGAATATATACATAACCGGTCGTGTGCTTCCAAGGAAATTTTGTTCTGTCATTCATATTTTACTTGTCATGATATATATATATATATATATATATATATATATTCACGCCACTGACGTGGGTGTCTGCAACCTAAGGCAATATGAATCTTTGGGGACCTAACCGGGAATCCCTGAAGCCAAATCGGAGCACAATCTCTTTAATCTTCTACGTCACGTTATAGCCTGCCTGCTTCTTCCAGTGCGGACCAATGTCGCAAATAGCGCACGGTATGACAGACATTGTTCACGCATTTGTAGGACGTGTCCAAGCCACGTAAAACAATGAAGTGAAATGGTTTCGCTCAATGGAAGATTACCTGATCCTAACACCAGTCGTTTGACTTCATCGTTATTCATGCGACACTTCCATCATACTCGGATGATGCTGCGCAAACAACGGCTGTCGAAGACGGATAGTCGTTGAATGTGATCTGCTCGGGGAGGCCAGATTTCGCGGCCATAGAGCAACACGGCGCATACCACTGCGCAAAACACGCCGTTTCAGCGAAAGGGCGCTAATCTAGCTTCGATCACTCGTTGAGGGAT